GGCTTGCCGTGTTTCCTGTCATGATGCACACACAAACCTTGTGGGAACGGTAGGACTGTACTGTGCCATCGGTCCCAGTGCTGGCACCTAGGTCAAACAAGGTATGGCCCCATGGCAGAAGCCTCTACTCACTTCTGCAGGAGTGCCCAAGGTGGGCCCTGGCACCTGTTTGTAAGAGAAGCAGAAGCCCCAGCTGATGAAGTTACATAAATGCTGACTCCTGGTAGCAAGCATGCTCTGAGGGACTCCAGGACCTCCTCAGCAAACACCCTTGTGGTGGCCTCACAACACAAAATTACAACCAAAGGCAGATTATGATTAGCCAGAGAAGTCCTCTTGGGGAGGGAACTGTCTTTGATAGAACACATCTATGGCTGCATGGAAGGTTGGTAGATGTGATATGTGGCTAGGCAGTAGGAAGGGCAATGAGAGAGAGCATTAAGCCACCCCAAGAAAGGGGAGTGTTTGGGTAGAGTTGAGACGAACTCAAATTTTGGGGGACAGTGAGGGGGTTTGGGCTGACTTCTGGGTCAGAAATGTCTGAAGCTGCAGCTAGGAATGGGCGTGTAAGTGTGCGGGTGGCTCACGCCTGTAATCACAGCATTTTGCGAGGCCATGGTGGGAAAATCGCTTGAGCCCAGGAGTTTGAGACCAACCTGGACAGCATAGGAAGACCCCATCCCTACAAAAAATACAAAAATTAGCTGGGCATGGTGGCCCGCACCTGTAGTCCCAGCTACTCGGGAGGCTGAGGTGGAAGAATCACTTATGCTCAGGAGCAATCGCACCACTGCACTCCAGCCTGGGTGAGAGTGAGACCCAAAAAAAAAAAAAAGTGCTGGCACCGTGTCTCTGGCGCATGTGCTGAGCCATAAGCTGCACAAGCATAATGCCAATCCCAGGATGAGGGGTCAAGTAATTCTCCTGCCTCAGCCTCCTGAGTAGCTGGGATTACAGGCACGCACCACCACACCCAGCTGATTTATTGTATTTTTAATAGAGACAAGGTTTCTCCATGTTGGCCAGGCTGGTCTCAAACTCCTGACCTTGGGTGATCCACCTGCCTCGGCCTCTCAAAGTGCTGGGATTACAGGTGTAAGCCACCGCACCCAGTGTATCCATCCACTGTTGATGGCCTTTCAGTTGTTTCCAATTTTTGTCTATTGCAAATACTGCTGCCAGACGCACTGTTGTACATGTCTTCACGTTGCTCATATGCATTATTTTTGGAGGGTATATTCCCAAATAAAGAGTGGAATTTTAGGGTCACAGGCAGATACTGCCAAATAGGTTTCCAAAGTAGTTGTACCCAATGTATGCTCCTTCAGTAGTGTCAGAGAGTTCAAGCTTTCCCTGTCTTTCCCAAAACTTGGTATTGTCAAGTCATTTTTATTTTAGCTATTCTGGTAGAATAGCTCCCCCCGCCTCCACCTCCCCCGCATTTTTTTTGGAGGTAAAGTCTTGTTCTGTTGCCCAGGTTGGAGTACAGTGGTGCAATCTCAGCTCACTTCATCCTCCATCTCCTGGGTTCAAGTGATTCTCTTGCCTCAGCCTCCCGAGTAGCTGGGACCACAGGTGTGGGCCAACATGCCCAGCTAATTTTTGTGCTTTGAGTAAAGACAGGGTTTCGCCATGTTGGTCAGGCTGGTCTCAAACTCCTGGCCTTAAGTGATCTGTCCATCTTAGCCTCCCAAGGTGCTGGGATTACAGGCGTGAGTCACCTCACCTGACCAGTATTTATTTTTTTCAATTTGCATTTCCCTAATGACTAAAGAGGTTGAGTACCTTTTCATTATTATTTGAATGTTCTCTTTTATGAAGTAACTATTCGAATCTCTTGCCCCATTTATCTGTTTGTGTATATTTTATTGATTTGTAGTATGTATTCAGGATATAAGTCCATGAATGTTCTATCTTACAATATCTTCTCCTAATTTTAATGTCTTTTGATAAAAGAAGGTTCTTAATCGTTATATAATCCAATTTATCAATACTTTATTAGTTTTATTATTTCCTTTAGTACATTTTATGTCCTGTTAGACAATCCTGTCCTGTTAAAAAATCTTGGCCGGGCACGGTGGCTCAAGCCTGTAATCCTAGCACTTTGGGAGGCCGAAATGGGCAGTTCATGAGGTCAGGAGATCGAGACCATCCTGGCTAACACGGTGAAACCTCGTCTCTACTAAAAATACAAAAAACTAGCTGGGCGAGGTGGTGGGCGCCTGTAGTCCCAGCTACTTGGGAGGCTGAGGCAGGAGAATGGCGTAAACCTGGGAGGCGGAGCTTGCAGTGAGCCGAGATTGCACCACTGCACTCCAGCCTGGGCGACAGAGCGAGACTCCGTCTCAAAAAAAAAAAATCTTGACTGGCTGTGGTGGCTCATGCCTGTAATCCCAGCACTTTGGGAGGCCAAAGCAGGAGGATCACTTGAGCCCAGGAGTTCCAAGAGGCCCTGTCCCTACAAAAAATTAAAGAAGTTAGCTGGGTGTGGTGGAGCATACCTATAGTCTCAGCTACTCAGAGGCCAAGGCAGAAGGGTCCCTTGAGCCTCGGAAGTCAAGGCAGCAGGGAGCTATGATCGCGCCACTGTACTCCAGGCTGGGCCACAAAGTGAGACCCCCATCTCTAAAAAAATTGTTTTTTTTTTTTTTTTTGAGACGGAGTCTGGCTCTGTCCCCCAGGCTGGAGTGCAGTGGCTGGATCTCAGCTCACTGCAAGCCCCGCCTCCCGGGTTCACGCCATTCTCCTGCCTCAGCCTCCCGAGTAGCTGGGACTACAGGCGCCCGCCACCTCGCCCGGCTAATTTTTTTTGTATTTTAGTAGAGACAGGGTTTCACTGTGTTAGCCAGGATGGTCTCGATCTCCTGAACTCGTGATCCGCCCGTCTCGGCCTCCCAAAGTGCTGGGATTACAGGCTTGAGCCACCGCGCCCGGCAAAAAATTGTTTTTAATTTTTGCTTTCACACTTGTGAATAGCCGCTGCACTCCAGCCCCTACCTCTGTAAAAAAAAAAAAAAAAAGTTTGCTTAAAGTTATCTTTAAGATCTTCTCTTGGCCAGACGAGTGGCTCACGCCTGTAATCCCAACACTTTGGGAGGTCGAGGCGGGTGGATTACAGGGTCAGGAGATCGAGACCATCCTGGCCAACATGGTGAAACCCCATCTATACTAAAAATACAAAAATTAGCTGGGCGTGGTGGTGCATGCCTGTAATCGCAGCTACTCAGGAGGCTGAGGGAGGAGAATTGCTTGAACCAGGGAGTCGGAGGTTGCAGTGAACCAAGATTGCACCACTGTATTCCAGCAGCCTGGTGACAGAGTGAAACTCTGTCTCAAAAACAAAAAACAAACAAAAAAAAAAACCCACACGCACACACACAAAACCAAGGTCTTCTCTTATACTGTTTTCTAGAAGCTGTATATTATCTTTCTTTTTATGTCCAGATGTCAAATTTATATGGGATTGATTATGCAACCAGTGTGAAATAGGGATCTCATTTAATTTTTTCTATATGGATATCCAACTGACCCAGCATCATTTATTGAAAAGCCTATTCTTTCAGTTAATAGGGTTGCTCCTGGGGGGTGGGCGGGGGGAAATGCTTTCTTCATGTTGGCTCTGAAGAGCCACCCTTGTCAAAATTCAAGTTTCCACACATCTTCAGGCTCGTCTCTGAATTTCGTTCCATTAGTCTTCCTATCCTCGTACCAGTACCACACAATCTTGGTTTCTTTTTGTTTTTTATTTTCATTATGTTTTTAGAGACAGGGTCTCTCGCTCTGTTGCCCAGGCTGGAGTGCAGCAGGTGATCATAGCTCACTACAGCCTCAACCTCCCCAGGGCTCACATGATCCTCCCACTTCAGCCTCCCCAAGTAGCTGGGACTACAGGCATGTGCCACCACGCCTGGCTAATTTTTGTATTTTTTGTAGAGATGGGGCTTTGCTATGTTGCTCAGGCTGCCAAATCTAGATTGTCAATTTACACACACACAAAATCTAGTGGGATTTTTAACTGAAGTTGCATCGAATCCACATACCAATTTGGGAGAACTGGCACCTTTATAATACTGACTTTTCCAATCTTGGAAGAATTTTTCACTTTATGTCTTTCTCATTTTTTTAACTTCTTTTTTTTTTTTTTCAGATAGGGTCTGGCTGTGTTGCCCAGGCTGGAGTGCAATGGCATGATCTTGGCTCACTGCAACCTCTGCCTCCCAGGTTCAGGCACTTCTCCTGCCTCAGCCTCCAGAGTAGCTGGGATTACAGGTGCACAACAGCATGCCCAGCTAATTTTTTTTGCGTTTTTAGTAGAGATGAGGTTTCACCATGTTGGCCAGACTGATATTGAACTTCTGACCTCAAGGGATCCACCCGCCTTGGCCCTCCGAAGTGCTGAGATTTCAGGCATGAGCCACCATGCCAGGCCTATGTCTTTGTTTCCCTCAATAATGTTTTATAGTTTTTTTGTATGTGTGTATGTAGTCTTTGCACATCTTTCATTAGGTTTATTCCTCAGCATTTGATATTACTTGATGCTATTGTAAACATCATTGTTTTTAAGAAATTTCTTTTCTTTTGTTTGTTTGTTTTTCTCGTTCACTGCAACCTCTGCCTCCCAGGTTCAAATGATTCTCCTGGCTCAACCTCCTGAGTAGCTGGGACTACAGGTGCCCACCACCACGCCCAGCTAAATTTCTGTATTTTTAGTAGAGACAGGGTTTCACCATGTTGGCCAAGCTGGTCTCAAACTCCTGACTTCAGGTGATCTTCCCGCCTCGGCCACCCAAAGTGCTGGGATTACAGGCATAAGCCAACCCGCCCAGCCAAGAAATTTATTTTCTAATTGTTGCTGACATATAGAAATTACATCTGATTTTTATATATTGATCTTGTGTCCAACAACTTTGCCGAACTCATTCTAACAACTTACGTATAGGTTCTTTTGAAATTTTTACATATACAATCCTACTGCTTGGGAATAAGATTTTTTTCCCTTCCAATCTTCATAACTTTTTATTATTTTTCTTGCCCTACTGCACTGGATAGGCCCTCCAATATAATACTGAGGCTTGTGGTCATGAATATAAAATGAGACCAATTATCATGGTTGTTTGTTTTCCTCCAGCAATGTTCTGCTGCGCTAGAGACAAAGAATACATAGTCTATTTTAACTGGGGTTAGATTTTAGCCCAGCAAGTTTGTCTAAGAAGAACAGGGCAGGGAGTTGCCATGGCACTGGACTCTATAAGGCTAATGACACAGGTCAATAGCTGAGATGATGTACAATGGATTGGAGATCTCAGTGAGGTCAAAGAACTGCTGAATAATTGAGCTGGACAGGTTGGCCAGGTCTTCCCCTGGAAAGGTACACCTGGCTGGGAGTAGACAAACACAGGGTGGGGTGGAAAAGGCAGGAGAAGGAAAGACGCTGAGAAGTGTTAGCAGGCAGTATCTGCCACACCCTTACCCTCTGGTCTTCTGATCTCTCCATCTGCCCCCCAAGAGCCTCAAATCCAGGTCTCTAGGTCCTGGGTGGACCTCTAGTTGGGAGCTGATAAGAGAATGAGGATAGGCTGGGCACAGTGGCTCATGCCTGTAATCCCAGCACTTTGGGAGGCCAAGGCGGGCAGATCACTAGATGTCAGGAGTTTGATACCAGCCTGGCCAACATGGTGAAACCTCGTCTCTACTAAAAATACAAAAATTAGCTGGGCGTGGTAGTGGGTGCATGAAATCCCAGCTACTTGGGAGGCTGAGGCAGAAGAATCGCATAAACCTGGGAGGTGGAGGTTGCAGTGAGCCGAGATCACACCACTTCACTCCAGTATGGGTAACAGAGTGAAACTCCATCTCAAAAAAAAAAAAAAAAAAAAAAAAATAGAATGAGGTTAAAACACATAAGGGTCTTATTAGGAGGCAAGGGCAAGATTTGGAGGTGGAGAGAAGAACTATCACCAACATTTGGTTTTTGTTTTTTTACCGGGAGTGCATTAGGAACTGCCACTGGGGCTGGGGCATAGAGGTGAGTGCAGATGGAAGGAGTGGGCCTCCACAGAACAGCCACGAAGGGAGGATGACAGTGGGGACACACAGCAGGGAGCAACATGGAGAGCAATCCGCAATCGATCTCACTGCTCAGGAGTGAGGAGCTTTGCTCTCCAAAAGGAGTGTTAGCTGGGGCCAGCGCCAGCCCTATAGGTGAGAGGGCAGGGCTTGATTTCCCTCAGCCATAGTCCCTTTATGCCTCTGCACATTTGCCCACACAGTCTCCAAGACCTAGGATGCCCACCCCCCATCCCTATCCCTCCCTGCCCTTCCTTTGCAGATGCAGATGTCCCCTTGGTCATTCAAGGCATTGCTCGGGCATCTTATGCAAGAAGGCTTCCCAGGTCTCGAAGATGACTCAGACGCCTCCTCTGGGACCTTAGCACCCTTCCCTAGCAGAGCCCCTGCCTGTCTCCCTCTGTGGCGTCAGGTTTTGTGCCCTCTACTCACTAGATTGTGGACCCAGAAAGCGCTGGTGCTGTCAAAACCACTTCTGGGTTGCCAGGCACGGTTGCTCACACCTATAATCCCAGCACTTCGGGAGGCCAAGACGGGCGGATTGCTTGAGCCCAGGAGTTCAAGACCGGGAGTTCAATACATGGTGAGACCCCGTCTCTGCAAAAAATGCAAAAATTAGCCAAGTGTGGTGACACGTACCTGTAGTCCCAGCTACTCGGGAGGCTGAGGGGGTAGAATCGCGTGAACCTGGGGAGTTCGAGGCTACGGTAAGCTGTGATCACCACTGCACTCCGAAAGAGTAAGACCTTGTCTCTAAATAAATAAATACATAAAACCACTCTGGGGGACTCGCCTCTCCAGCCCCTGCACCGATTGGCTCCCATTCAAAGGAGTTCAGCCCTAAGCGCCTCTGCAGATCCTCCACCCCCACCCACAAACCCGTGGGAACCCCGGCCGTGTATCCGGCCCAGAGCTCTGATCCTCCGGAGGTCCTCAGATCCGTAGACGGGAGATGGCATAACTGGAGACCTGCTGCCTGTCCTTGGTAGCCATAAGGGGCGCTCGGGAGGTGGGATCCGCAGGAGCCCCGCCTCCCGGAAGCGGAGAAGTCAAGGGGCGAGAGAATGCGCCCACTGATTGGTTGATGGTGATGTCATAGGTACCGTTCGGGGCGGGCCAGAGGCCTTGGTCGGGAGTTCCTCGCCTGTTAGAACCAGGATCCACCCCATCGCGGGAGCCGCACCCTGTGGAGCGTTCTAGGGTCCCGGCCCTGACCTCTTCCTGGGTGTCGGGATGCCCGCGTCCTCTGCACCCGGCGCTGCATCTCGTTATCAATTCTGCCTTTGGAGGCCGGTCCGTATAGTGTACCTCCTGGACTATCTCTCACGTTTAGCCGACAACCCCTGGAGCCCCCTCGCCCATGCGACGAGTCCTCCGTGAGGGGCGGAGCCTCCCATTGTGCCAATAGAAACAATGACTCTCTGATTGGAGTGCTTCGCTTTCACCCCTCGCCTCCGCTCCTCTTGTGACGTCTGTTGCGCCAGGTCCACCCATTGGCCTGGCGAGACCGGCGCGTGCCAGGAGTTACGCAGGGAAGGCTGGAATGCACCGAGGGTGGGGGGAGGACTGAGTTTCTGTGTCAGTCCCTTCAAGGGGTTAAGGGATGCGGTCGTGGCAGACGAGGGGCGGGGATCCGAAGAAGCGGGGCCCGCAGCCATGGGGCAACGCCAGGCTCCACGTGGCATCCCAGAGCACTCGGAACCCTCAGCCTCGGAGGGTGTGCAGCCTCCAGTGGAGGGGCCCCGAGCCCGGGAGACTGCTGGGGACAGGCAAGGCAGGGAAGAATTCGTCCTCTGCTCCCGCCTCGGGAGGGTCATCTCCGGTTCCTGCTCCGCAGGGGCGCTCCAAACAAGCAGGTGGTCGCGACATGTTTCATAAAACTAGCTGATCGGATAGTTAAAGCTATTGTTCGGGGTGCTGGTATCCCAGATCCCTGTCCAGCCATCGTCCCCTCTACCCCAAGATTTCACACAGTACCCGCTCCCAGAACCATGAGAACGCTCATGGGCACCAAAATTTCGGACCAAAATCCGGGACACGGTTCAGAACTAGTGGTCAGGAAGGGAGACGAGAGATCTGGAAGGGGAGAAAAAGGCTGAGAGACAGAGCTAGGACAGCGCCCTAGAAGGAGGGAGGTGGGTGAGGGCGGCGGCCGAAAGTGGGGAGGGCGGACCTAACGGCGGCGAACCCCCGTGCTCTGTTCAGCACCATGAGCAGCGCTCACGTCCTCAATAAAGATGGCGTCAAGAGCTTCCGTCCTCAGAGCTGCCATGCGCGATGGGTTGTACCACCGTGTTTAGGGCGCCGGGGCAGAGGTGGAGTGAACCATCGGGGCGGCCGGGAGCCATGTTGGAGCGGCGGGAGGCGGCAGCAGCGTCGGGGATGCTGTGGTGGGGGCGGAAAAAGCTGGGGCCGCACGCCGGAGGGGCTCCGGCCGTGGAGTAGATGGTGCCCAGAGGGCGGCGGGGGCGCGGAGAGACAGGCGGAGGGGCGGGGGCCCAGGGCGGCGGCAGGGGCCCGGGAGGGGGCCCGAGCGGCGGGGCCAGACCAAGGACCGGACTGGGGCGGGGGGCGGTGGAGGCCGTGCAGGGAGGCGGGGGATGATGGCGAGACGGCCGCCGTGGAGGGGTCTCGGGGGACGGTCGACTCCCATACTTCTGCTCCTTCTCCTCTCTTTGTTCCCCCTCAGCCAGGAGGAGCTGGGGGGCGGTGGGCACCAGGGCTGGGACCCCGGGTTAGCTGCCACTACGGGGCTAAGGCCGCATATCGGTGGCGGAGCCTTAGCTCTTTGTCCCGAGTCTCCCGGGGTCCGGGAGGATGGGGGGCCTGGACTGGGGGTCAGGGAGCCTGTCTTCGTGGGGCTCCGAGGGGAAAGGCAAAGCTCCCGGAACAGTCGAGGTCCCCCTGAGCAGCCGAACGAGGAGTTGAGGATTGAACACGGCGTCCAGCCATTGGGCAGCCGCGAACGAGAGACAGGACAGGGACCAGGGTCTATGTTACACTGGCGCCCAGAGATCTCCTCTTGCGGGCGGACAGGACCTTTGCAAAGAGGTAGTCTGTCACCAGGGGCTCTGTCCCCAGGGGTCCCGGGCTCGGGGAACAGCTCACCCCTCCCTTCAGACTTTTTGGTTCGGCACCACGGTCCCAAGCCGGTGTCCTCCCAGCGGAACGCTGGGACAGGCGCCCGCAAAAGAGTGGGCACCGCGCGCTGCTGTGGGGAATTATGGGCAATAGGGAGCAAGAGTCAGGGCGAGAGAGCCACGACATCCGGAGCAGAAAGGACAGCCCCCCGGCGGAACTGTCTTCCAGGGGCCTCGGGATCTGGCCCCGAGCTGGATTCAGCACCGCGCACGGCGAGGACAGCTCCTGCACCAGGTTCAGCACCCCGCGAGTCTCGGACAGCTCCCAAGCCGGCGCCCGAGCGCATGCGCTCCCGGGGTCTCTTCCGCCGCCGCTTCCTCCCTCAGCGCCCCGGGCCGCGCCCCCCGGGAATCCCGGCCCGTCCTGAAGCCAGGAAAATAACCTCGGCGAACCGGGCACGCTTTCGTCGCGCCGCAAACCGCCACCCGCAGTTTCCGCAGTACAACTACCAGACGCTGGTGCCGGAGAATGAAGCAGCAGGCACCGCTGTGCTACGCGTGGTTGCACAGGACCCGGACGCCGGCGAGGCCGGGCGCCTAGTCTACTCGCTGGCGGCGCTCATGAATAGCCGCTCTCTGGAGCTGTTCAGCATCGACCCGCAGAGCGGCCTCATCCGTACGGCGGCAGCTCTGGACCGCGAGAGCATGGAGCGTCATTACCTGCGTGTGACCGCGCAGGACCACGGCTCGCCGCGCCTCTCGGCCACCACGATGGTGGCCGTGACAGTAGCTGACCGCAACGACCACTCGCCGGTTTTTGAGCAAGCGCAGTACCGGGAGACGCTTCGCGAGAATGTGGAGGAGGGCTACCCTATCCTGCAGTTGCGTGCCACTGACGGCGACGCGCCCCCCAACGCCAACCTGCGCTACCGCTTCGTGGGGCCGCCAGCTGCGCGCGCTGCAGCTGCCGCCGCCTTCGAGATTGATCCACGCTCCGGCCTCATCAGCACCAGCGGCCGCGTGGACCGCGAGCACATGGAAAGCTATGAGCTGGTGGTGGAAGCCAGCGACCAGGGCCAGGAGCCCGGGCCGCGCTCGGCCACTGTGCGCGTACACATAACTGTGCTGGACGAGAACGACAACGCTCCCCAGTTCAGCGAGAAGCGCTACGTGGCGCAGGTTCGCGAGGATGTGCGCCCCCACACGGTGGTGCTGCGCGTCACGGCCACCGACCGGGACAAGGACGCCAACGGATTGGTGCACTACAACATCATCAGTGGCAATAGCCGTGGCCACTTTGCCATCGACAGCCTCACTGGCGAGATCCAGGTGGTGGCACCTCTGGACTTCGAGGCAGAGAGAGAGTATGCCTTGCGCATCAGGGCGCAGGATGCTGGCCGGCCACCGCTGTCCAACAACACAGGCCTGGCCAGCATCCAAGTGGTGGACATCAATGACCACATTCCTATTTTTGTCAGCACGCCCTTCCAAGTCTCTGTCTTGGAAAATGCTCCCTTGGGTCACTCAGTCATCCACATTCAGGCAGTCGATGCAGACCATGGGGAGAATGCCAGATTGGAGTACTCCCTAACTGGTGTGGCATCTGATACTCCCTTCGTGATAAACAGCGCCACTGGCTGGGTCTCTGTGAGTGGTCCCCTGGACCGTGAGTCTGTGGAGCATTACTTCTTTGGTGTGGAGGCTCGAGACCATGGCTCACCCCCACTCTCTGCCTCAGCCAGTGTCACAGTGACTGTGCTGGATGTTAATGACAATCGGCCTGAGTTCACAATGAAGGAGTACCACCTACGACTGAATGAGGATGCAGCTGTGGGCACCAGTGTGGTCAGCGTGACCGCAGTAGACCGTGATGCCAACAGTGCCATCAGCTACCAGATCACAGGTGGCAACACCCGGAATCGCTTTGCCATCAGCACCCAGGGGGGTGTGGGTCTGGTGACTCTGGCTCTGCCACTGGACTACAAACAGGAACGCTACTTCAAGCTGGTACTAACTGCATCTGACCGGGCCCTTCATGATCACTGCTATGTGCACATCAACATCACAGATGCCAACACTCATCGGCCGGTTTTTCAAAGTGCCCACTACTCAGTGAGTGTGAATGAAGATCGGCCAGTGGGCAGCACCGTAGTGGTCATCAGTGCCTCTGATGATGATGTGGGTGAGAACGCTCGTATCACCTATCTCCTGGAGGACAACCTGCCCCAGTTCCGCATTGATGCAGACTCAGGGGCCATTACACTACAGGCCCCATTAGACTATGAGGACCAGGTGACCTACACCTTGGCTATCACAGCTCGAGACAATGGTATCCCACAGAAGGCGGACACTACTTATGTGGAGGTGATGGTCAATGATGTGAATGACAATGCTCCACAATTTGTGGCCTCCCACTATACGGGGTTGGTCTCTGAGGATGCCCCACCTTTCACCAGTGTCCTGCAGATCTCAGCCACCGACCGGGATGCTCATGCCAATGGCCGGGTCCAGTACACTTTCCAGAATGGTGAAGACGGGGATGGAGATTTTACCATTGAGCCCACCTCTGGAATCGTTCGTACAGTGAGGCGGCTGGACCGGGAGGCAGTGTCAGTGTATGAGTTGACTGCCTATGCAGTGGACAGAGGTGTACCCCCACTCCGGACTCCAGTCAGTATCCAGGTGACGGTGCAGGATGTGAACGACAATGCACCTGTCTTCCCAGCTGAGGAGTTTGAGGTGCGGGTGAAAGAGAACAGCATTGTGGGCTCAGTGGTGGCCCAGATCACTGCAGTGGACCCTGATGAAGGCCCCAATGCCCATATAATGTACCAGATCGTGGAGGGGAACATCCCTGAGCTGTTCCAAATGGACATCTTCTCTGGAGAACTGACGGCACTCATTGACCTAGACTATGAGGCTCGCCAAGAATATGTGATTGTGGTGCAGGCCACATCTGCTCCTTTGGTCAGCCGGGCCACTGTGCACGTCCGCCTGATTGACCAGAATGACAACAGCCCTGTGCTCAACAACTTCCAGATTCTCTTCAACAACTATGTATCCAACCGTTCGGACACCTTCCCTTCGGGCATTATTGGGCGCATCCCAGCTTATGACCCCGATGTCTCTGACCACCTCTTCTACTCCTTTGAGCGTGGCAATGAGCTGCAGCTGCTGGTGGTCAACCAGACCAGTGGAGAGCTGCGACTCAGCCGAAAGCTAGACAATAACCGCCCACTGGTGGCCTCCATGTTGGTGACTGTCACAGGTGAGGGGCAGGGGGCAGGCAAGTGACCCAGTGACCCCAACCTGTTAGGTCTCAGGGACTCCACAGGGCACCTCATACCAAACAGGGATTTCTAAGCCTTCCAAGAACCCCTTAAGGGTAGGGTTCTTGCACCCTACAAGATCTGCCATAGACCTCACAAGGTTAGGTTCTCTGCTTAGGTTCCTGGATAATCTCCACAGAATCCCAATGATTCCAAGGCATCTAGCAGACCCCATAAAGCCTGTAAAGAACGGTCTGCTACCTAGGGATAGCTCCCCTCCTGACAAAAGGTCAGTGGTCCTGGGGTAATCCTCTGGAGGTCCCAGGCAAAGCCAGTATGGGCCAGTCAGTCCACGCTATGCCCGTGTTCAGACAAAGGGTTACTTTGGGTCCAGTCTGATGCCTACCCCATCTGTGCAGGAAATGACCAATAATTGAGTGGTCAGGAACAGCAGCTTACTATGGAAGCTTCAGGTGGAGAGTGGCTTCATAGGGGCTGAGACCCTGACCTTTGGGAAAACGTCCAGAGGTCTACCTGCCTCTTTCCTGCTCCATCTGCTCCAATCATTCACAAACCCCTCCATAATAGGAGAGTGCAGGTGGGGAGGCTCTTGAAGTCCTGCCTACTGGAGGCTGCAGAGGTTGTGAAATAGGCTTTACTGGTGCTCATTCCTCAGTTCTGGAGCAGGGACTCCTGGAACTGCCTGAAAAGGCACAACCTTCATTTATCCCTCAACTCACTCAACAGTCTGTCCTCATTGACCACCCAGTATGTGCTAGG